AATCAACGGTCAGTCTGCATGGCGCAAATATTGCAACAAAACAGTACCAGAAGGGTATTCTTTGGAATTATTTTGCGAACAGTATCAGGAAAGATATAGAGTTTTCACGAGGGCGGGGCTGATAAACTAGTCGAATGATATAAGAGCTTAGATAAAAAAGCTAAAGATAAAAGTTTAAGATAAAACACTGTCTAGCTAAATTGGAATACGGCTGTAAAAGCAACTTGAACTTGAAGATTACGTTAGAAAACCTACTCTAAAAAGTCATTCAGTAAACATCAGATTAGCAGTGCCATTCTAATTAGAACATATTATTTATCTTATAGCACTTTCTTTCATCTAAAGCAAAACTTACAAGTGGCATACATATTAAATAAGAAGTAATATAATCATTTTAATCACCGTGGAAAAACAAGAGAAAGTTTACCCAGTTTATTACTAAAGTAACACAGGTGCTCGGTAAAATCAAATTTTTTTCTCAGGTCTAAATATGCACAATAAACAATTTAAAGTGACTAAAAGTTTAGCCACAAGTAAAGCATTTACACTCAGAATCTCACATGAAGGAAGGTTAAATATAAGAGGATAGCAAGAAAACCTAGCAGAAAATTTCTGATTGTTCCCCAAGATTCTCCTCCGTTTTTCTCTATATGCGATTTTTTGCAGCTTTTCACGATCATTTTCGAATAGCGAGGTAAGTTATTGCCTAGAAGATGAAGTGAGCTACACGCTAAAATCACAACACTATTTCTCCGATGATCACATGTTTTGATTTATTCGGATCTTCGCCCTCTTGCTCCTTTAATTTGGAGGCCGGTTTTCCTAGTCACTGCTGTGCTCCGGCGTTTCTTCTTGGACGATCGATTATCTGAAACTTAACTGTAGATTTTATCTCGGCTTTTAGGATTTTCATTCGCTGATGTCAATGTTGAATTCGTTGATGTTATGCTTTTTCCTTTGACAGGCATTAAAGCTGGTGGTTTTAGCGACTTTTTGATTGCTCTCAAAAGTTTCTGCCTTTCAGATTTCTACGCTAAAAGTTGAAGATGCTTTTTGAACAGCCTGACATCGGTTTGTAATTCGATGTCTCTTAAATCTCCATATATCGCCTCTTGAGCACAATTGGTGAACGTATTTTGTTCGCGAGCTACTGAACGTATTGTTTTAGTATGAACCTATTTTTTTCCAGCCTAACTCGCAAATAAAATGATCATTTAGTGGCACTTTAGCTATAATCACGATCTGTAGCATTGGAAATTTCATAGATCTGCTCTCTACTTTAGTGAGGCTAGTGTTTTTCGAGCGTTGAGTGTCTGTGGGCGAATCGAACGGACATGAGAATCTTAAGTTCGCTGGTTCGAATCCGTCGCGTAGTAACATCTTGAGGCTTATTTCTACTTTTTCTTGTTTGCCTTTATAGAACTGCTTTTTGTCGTTTTCTCGCTAGTTTTTTGTTAGTCCTCCGGTATACAATTTGAAATATTCAAGAATCTTGATGCAAAAGCTATACTTTTCCACCACCAGGATAAATTTATTGTTCCTACTTTCGAAGAAAGTGCGGAATATTTATGCTTGCTGTGGTTTTCTTTATTGAGTCAAATTTCGGTTTGTTGGGCTTTTTGCGAATTTTTTTTCTACCATCTTAAGCTCAAAATTAAAAAAAGTATTTCACCGAATATTATTTTTCTTAAAGTTACGGGCGTTTGAAAATTGCTTGGCAAATTTTAGACCTTCTTCAGGATCATTTTTTGATTTAAATTTGTTGCCTGATGATGAACCCATTTGAAGTTTTTTTCATAAAAGAAGTATTTTTCAATTAATAGGGATCCCTTGTCGATCCATAGGGCCCCCTCGAGAAAATCTTAGATCCGCCCCTGATTGTATGTGTATTTGGCATATTTCATTGTTTTTTTTACCTGGTTCTCAAAAAATCTAGTTTTTTGTCAGATCCAATTTTTTGAGATGATAATCGGCTATTGGTTTTGGTTTTATGGTTTATGAAATCATTGTATTTTTTCAATATTCATTATTTTCCATTTTTGTTTGTTTCAGTTTTTTCTAGGTTTTTTTTTCTGAAAAAATTAATTTATAGTGTTAAAAATGTTTTAAATTTCTTGACTTATTGAAAATCAATAATTGAAGATTCACTTTTTTCGTTTTTCTTGTTATTGGTTGAAAAGTTTTTCTCTATTTTAGTTTGTCTTGATCCTGTTAAGTTTTTTCCGAAGTTAGATATCTGTGTCTTAACAAATACCAGAAAGCTTTGAATTTTAGATTTTTCCAGTATTCAGGAGATTTTACTTTGTTTCCATTGCTCTGAACGATTAAATGTCTTCTTAGCGATTTACTGCTTTGTAGGCGTTTTAAAACTGTCGACATGAAACAGACTGAATCAACTGCTTGTATAAGTTTTTTCGAACATTTTGCTGATACTTAAAAAAAAAAAATGCGCCACATATTTTGTTATTTTTTCGTACTATAGTACATCTCAGGTTGAATGCAGAAAGAGATTTTAAAATTTTTCTGTAAATCATCAAAAACTTCGGAAACCAAAACAATTAACTGAAAAAAGACTTTATCAGAGTGGCCATGAAAATTTCTCTTATACATTTATTAATTAAAAGAGGAAGTCGGTAATTGACCCATAGAACTAAAACTATCCAAATCCAACAACTACAAGGCTACTAATAATGAATGCGCTATTATTTGGTCATCTACAAAAAAATCAGAATCTGGGAATAAATAGAAATTCACTTTACTTAAAACTGGGATTAAAAAGATATTTTATCAGGGGGGTTGAGAAATTAGATGATAAGCAAATTACGGAGGCACTTATAAGGAATATAGACGATTTTGCAAAACTGGAATTGTGAGAAAATAGACGCAAGTGAGAGATTAAAATTATTTGCTGACAAATTGCGCGAGAAAAATATAATTGTTTGTAGACAACAGTTAAATTTCGGTAGCCAAAAATTTTACAAGTTAATCATGCATAATTTATTCAATTCAAAATTCTCTTGTAGTATTCGGATTTGACATTTTTTTTGTTACTTAAACTAATTATTTTAATAGGTATTGACATTTTATGTTATTTTTGTATTTTTGAAACTTGACTCTTAAGAAAAAATGTTGTTGGCCCTTTCCTTTTAATAGGTTTTCGTCTAAAATGACAGATCTGAAAAAAATTAAATTCCGTCAAAGTACGCTTTTTTAGCATCCGTCTAATTTTCTTATCGTCTAATTTCCTAGGCCTTTTTTATCAGAAAAACAAGTTTTGTTTACGAGTTTTAAATTTCAAAAATTGAATTTTATCAATTATTTCCAGATTATCAGCTTTTGATCAAATCACGGTTTGTGTTCAACCTAGAAACAACAAATTATCAAATCTATGATAATAGCACCGACAACAAAAAAGTTCTTTTTCAAATGCTCATATATGGTAGTAGAAGCCTCTAAAGGTTGGAGTTCAATTTTGCTAACGGGAAATGTGTTCGTTGTTCGTCTGCTGAAGATAAAGATAATGCAAGTTAAAATGGGATCTACTTAACAATCTCCACCCCTTTCAAGAAAAGGGGGTGAGGACATTGTTAAGTAGGTCAAAATGGTCGATTTTTCAACCAATCAGAATGCAGCAAAACTATAATTCTCAATAGAAAGCTCAGTGCTAATTTACTGTATTTATTTTTAGGGTGGACATTCTTAAGTAGGTACCATAGAAGGGGACATTGTTAAGTAGATCCTTAAAATGATATAATTAAGAAGATGTATCGGGGCAGTACAACAGTGCCGAAGTACAACAGTGCCGAAAAAAAAACTAGTTCAACAGTGCCGAAAATGAAAACTTTGTTCAACAGTGCCGAAAATATATGAACAAATTTCAACATATTAAGTGCGGCAATCAAACATTAAAGGCGAACATTTACAATCATAAGTGGCACTTAAAAATTTTGGGTGAGAAAGTTTGCGATTTAGACAATTTGGCGCCAAAATAATTGTTTAATTTGCAGTTGCAGATCTTTTGGCGCCGAAATTGGAGTGATTTTCTTTGATAATTAGCGTCATTAATTTCTCGCTCTTTAGAAAATGCGTTTAAATTATTCTGAAATTTTCCCGCCTTTTTCGCCACTGTTGTACTTCGGCGCTGTTGAACGGGGGCTATTCTCATGCGCGAAGGACCGAATGCGCGAAAAAACTCGTGAGCGAAGGACCGAAAACAAAGTTAGCCGAAAGTCAATTTTTGAAAAGAAGCAATTGTCATTCAAGTAAAAAAAATTAAATGAAGCATTATTTTGCTTCTTTCATAACGAAACCCTTGAAATATAAAATTTATTCATTTTCGGCGGCGGTCTGTGACATTTTGAAAATTTTGCATATTTCTGCCGTTTTTATAATCGGCCAATATCAATACTCCAGTCCCTGGAATTCTTTACTTTCTTTGCAAATTTTAGATTACTGAAATCTGATTGGCTGATTTGTATTTTCGGCGCATGAGGGATTCAACCCTGATGAACGCCCCCGATGTATCACCCGTGCCCATTTTGAAAGAAATTTAGAAAACTGAATTGAGCTATTTAATAAGCATATCAAATGATTACTAGATGAGTAATTATCAATCTGTACTTGACATTGCGTGATTGGAAGGTTTAACACCCAAAAACCATGTTTTTAGAAAAATTGATGCGTTTAAAAAAACTGCTGCAGATATCGTGAACGAAAGGGAACATTCAGGGCTTTGCTCTGTAGCGGGAGGTCTCGTTCAATCTTTTTTGATATTCATTCTCGATTTTTTTTTATTAAACTTGAATTACGCTGCCTGATTCTGTTCTAGTTTTGATCTAAATGGAAGGATAATTCCAGTGTTTCTTTTTATTGTATGAGTAGGCGTAAAGATGATTGGATGCAGAAAAGGGTTCAACAATTAAAAAATCAATTAATAAGGTCAAAACTGAAATAACTTTGCCAGTTTTGCTGGATTTCAACTGGTGATACTTCTACGGAAGGTCTTTTGAGTGGGAGAGAGCTTTAGTATTGACTAGTTCACCTATTCGACTAACCTACACTAATGCACTTGAAGCACCATTAGTGTTTCAAGTGCTTCGCTCATCTCTGGTCTACATGTACCAAGCCTGCACCCGAGCCAGATCCCAGTTGTATATCATCGCACCAGGAAAATAAACCAATGAGCAGATTAATTTTGAACCCTATAGTAAGGTGTAGCGTCATTTCGTTCTCAAGCACAGTGAAAGCCCAAGCACAGGATTTTCAAATTTTGTTCAGCGAATACAGCTAGTGACGAAGATAAGCTACGAAAATTACCGAGAGGTTGCTTTGATATTATTTGTCTTTCTGAATTCGGACCCTAATTTTAATCGAGAAAGCACTTAATGATGGCTGGGCTTCATGATGAAAATAATGGTTAAACTGCGCTTTCTTTAATGTTTAAAGCCTTGGAAGACGCCGTTGTTAATCTAATTCTAAAAAGGCAAATACATCTGGAAAACGGATTTTTTGACTGCTCTGAACATAGAAACTGATTTTCTTAAATCAATATAGCTCGAAGCAATTTCGTTATCAAACACTTCTCGTAAAAGGCACAAAAAGCTACACAAAGTATAATGATTCGAACTAAAATAAAAAATGCAGCCCACCCACTTGAGAAAAATTTTCAGCATATGGCGTCTCTCATTTAAGTGTCTTGTATCCCTGGTCCAAAATTTAAATTACTTTTCTTTGACCGTTACAGACAAGGGGCTTTCAAAGATTTTATTTTTGTGGTGCCAAGTATCATTATTCTGCTCATTGGACTATTTTTTTCGAACTCGATAGGAATGTATTATGAGATGTTTCTGAAGAAAATCGGAGTCCCAGAAAGTTCAGTTATTGTGCAGAAGTTTCAAGTTGACGAAGAAAACGAAACGTTCATACGCAACAACAATTATCAATTCGATGATAGAACTGTGAATCGTCTGAATAAAATTTCTGAGCTGCTTTCTGCTGCTAAGTAACTTGATTTATATATGCAGTTACATTGATAAGATAACTAGTGTACATTGTATATTCCGTGCAAGAGCTATTTGGGCTTTGCTGAGATAATATCCCACAAATAAAAAAACAATGTTTGGGCATTTTCTCCGCGCAAAGAAGTACCACAAGAGAAACATAGTAAAAAGGTAGAGAGAAATATCACTTTAAAGCGCATTTTAGTTCGAAGCTATTTACAATGTACAACTCTAAAAAAACAAGGTAAATTGTTTTCGAAGTTTTCTGTTATTTTTTCAAAAAGTCTACAATGGTGATTCAGCGTTAGTTCAATTTTAACATTTAGTTAAACTGAATAGTTAACTTTACTTTGATGATTTTCAAAAGTTCAATCCATGACAAAAAAAACTGCATAGAAAAAAATTCAAATAGACTTTTCTTGAAACTGGAGTTTTTTCTATCTTCTGCAGCTAGAGGAAAATCGAAATGATCTTTATGCTGTTTTTCATCATCGACGATCTTGAACTGTTAAAATCATCAAATTTATTTCACTATTCAGTTTAATTAAAAAGTTATTTTAAATTTAAACAAACTCATGAGCAAGCTTCTGATTTGGCACAGTTGTTGTAGAGGCAACGTGGAAACTTTGTACCGCACTCAACCAGAGCATGAGTCTGGTCACGATATGTACGTTCTGAGTACTGAAAAATGTGCTTCAAACAGCTTCATTAGTAGAAAACTGATTTTTCTGCCTAGTTTTTGTCGGCTTAGTTGCGCCCTAACGGACTTCATGCTTTGCTGAAATAATTTTTAACGAAGATTTTTTAGCGTAAGTTGAACAAAATCTGCATGTCTCTATCCAAGCTGTTAATTTCTGTCTTTTTAAATTTTCAAACAAGAGTATTCTGAACTGCTATGTGATTTTCTTGTGCTAATACCGCGAAACAAAATTTTTCAGGTCGAGCGTAATAATCTGCAAAAAAAGTCCTATAAACAATGTACAGTCAAAAAAGTCTACTGGAGTGCATTCCAAATCTTGCCGCTAAACAAAGGTGTTATCACTTTTTGACCAGTTATGATGGCCAGTTACAAAAATTTTCAGCTGAATTTTTATTGAATAAACAACCTTCCTAGTCTCAATTGTCATCTTTTCCAATTATCTATCCTTTGTAAATAATTCAAAAAAATGAAGTTAATTTTCTATTGAAAATTAATTTTTATTAAAAATTAGTTTTGCTTAAAAAAATGCATTTGCGATATGCATTACTAATGAAACCGTATCATAAACTTTCCCTGCAAGTAACTTGTTCAACAAAAACACAACTTTTTAAAAACTATAGTTAAATCTAATTACGTTTGAGATTAGCAAGAGTTATCAAACCGGAATATAGGCTTTTTAACAGAGTCACTTGATCATTTGTAGCTTGGTTCATAATAATTTCAAACTTCTCTGCCTTCCCAGCCTACTTAGCCTGGAGGTAACAAATTTGCCTGTGACGGCAAAGTTCTTGGTTTCGAATTTGACCAGGACCTGTTATTTTTTCAAACAGGAAATATTTTGTTTCAAAAAAAATTGTCAGCAAATTATTTGTCTGCTCATGTGTTTTCGGCTTAGTTGTCACATCTTGGGATCAATTTTTTGCGGCACGCGTTTTTCTTTGATGTTGTTTTTGGTGTTTGATCTTTTTCCTAGAATTTGTAATTTTATTTACCTGGACTTCGTATTTTCTTTTTTTGTTTTTTTTTTCAAAAATACTCCTTGGCCCAAATTAATTCGTCCTTTTTTATCGACTCAAGGACCTTATTGTGGTTCGTTTCAAGGGAAACACAACTTTCTCACTTCTCTCGCCGCATTATGAAATTTTTGATTGTCAAGTTTTTCTTAGAAACTTTTAATGATTTGCAATTAAAGGGTATCAATTGAAAGTGGTATCGCATCGAGACTTTTTTTTAAATGACTCCTCTCTCTCTCTCTCTCTCTCTCTCTCTCTCTCTCGCTCTCTACAACCTTCGAAAAACTTTTAGGAGAAAATTTGACCCAAATCTTTGGGTTTTGTTTCGTTTTCTCAAAAATTACCCGTCAAATCTGAGTTTTTGATTTCAATGAAAGGAACGGTTTTGAAAAATTCCGTGCACAAACGTCTACGCGCAGATTTTTTTACCCAAAGCCTAAAGGCCTCGGAATAGTCTTTTTTGTTTGTTTTTAACCGTTTTTTTGTGAATATTTCAACTGTTCTCGAAAATTAACGCCTCATTTTTGATATCGAGGGTTCAATGGAGATAGCGGTTAGTGGTGGGAAGCTCCATGCAATAGCGCTCTTTCACAAAGTTGCTTACACTAAAAAATTTAAAGAAAAGTTGTTCGGTAAAGTCAATTTTTTTTATTTTTTCACCGTTTTTTCAACTTGGTGAATATTCTTGAAAACTTCCTTGTCATATTTCAGATTTTGGGTTCAATACACAGAACGGAGTGTTGTAAGCTCAATTGCTTTTCCGACGAAGCCAATTTTTTCTTCACCAAAAATTATGACCCCAGGAAAAGTCAAAATTTTAATTTTTTGAAGTTTTCAAAATGTTTTTGACTTTTCTCGAGAAGTATTATCCCAAATCTGAGATGCGCGAAAAGGTCAAATTTGTTGTCCGTATTTTGCGACTTTTCTCAATGTAGTACAGCTAAACCCAAACGAGGATAGATACTATCTTTCAACTGCGTACCCTACTCTCATGCCGCCAATAAAGAAATTCTGGTAAATTAAAAAAATGAACGTCATTCTAGGATGGCCCTACTACATTTTAAAAAAATTATCTAATTTATAAGCTATGTTTAAATTTTTCGGATTTCTTTTCTCAATTTTGAAAGGAGTCTTTAGCACATGCGCAATACATACACAAGTAAATGAACACGCAAGCGTAGCACGTATACTATTTGCATGATTTTTTGGATTATTTTCAACTTCAATTAATAAAATTTTTCTCGCCGCTCAAATCAGCGAATACAACAAGAAGGTGTCAACCACACCAAACGGTGCAACTTACCATTTATTTCCACAATCTACTTACTACCAGACCACTTCGACGACCAACTGAATTTCTTCGATAAACATAGCCTAGTTCGTTTACTTCACATCATCACTTTACTAATCCATTAGCCCTTGCTTCATACAATAACCCCTCCGATAACAAACTATGTCAATACCATTTACACAAACTAACAACTGCACTACATGAGATACAATTCAAAACTATAGGACTAAATCAAACACTACAGAAATTTATAGCACCACTAGCTAACATATTTTCAAATAATCAGTATGACCACGCTATTACACGATATATAGAAGACACGGATATTGAAGACGACCTAAACACTAGCCCTCAGTCAACCGAAATTTTCTTAATTCAGAATATGAATTTTACATTGATAGCACTAATAAAAAATATGACAAAATCATCGACACTGCACTAAAGAACACTAAAGCATATGAACCTTATTTTGATAAATTCGATCACTTTGCAATAATGTTTCACTTCCTTACGCCTAAGTAACGTGACTTGCACTGTTCACATGAAATCATGTGACACGCACGTACACCTATTATAATTTCATCCAAAACCACTACACAACTAACACATCATCACGAAACCCACAACACAGGTTTACATTCATTAACTCCAAATACACCTCACCATACTTCCTAAATTTTAGTTATTGTATAAAAAACCTAATATTCATGGCATTCTCCGAAGTTATGATCCAATCCGACAAATGTATATATTCTGCCCACAAACCAAATCCTTCGATGTTGGTGACTCCCACCCACTAATCATCTCTCGTGAATATATTCAGCCAAACGAACTCTCCATACTAAAATACATACATAATACTAAATATAACCATAATTCAAATAACCTAATCCAAAACACATCGCATGAATTCTCACTTAATATTGAAGAACAAAAAACCATCCGAGCAATAGAGCTTCTCTGGCCTCTACTTCGGACTAAAAACGTCATCCGCATGCTTGCGAAACTTCTAACATCATCAACCACAATTCACACTAAATTTCCAAGTAATTTTTTGAAGACGACAACCATTTGTAAGTATAATTAAATATTTCAACTAACAAATATCTGAAAACACTCACCATTCGTTACAAATGTTTCGCTCTCTTCTTTTAGATTTAACCGATCATTCATCTAAAA